ATCATAACCCATGCCGTTGATATTCCCCTCCGCTTTGCTTCCGGAAACATCACCCCCACGACTTTCTTTGTCACATCGCTGGATGGATCATGTTCCCTAGTCCTAGGACACAACTGGCTTACCCACTACAATCCGTTGATTGACTGGGTCTCAAGCAGTATTATGTTCCAAACTTCTGAACCTACCAAGACAGTTACTCCAAGCTCTCCCCCGTCATCTCCAGCACCATTGCTGTCGTCTGACATCCAACCATCTGATATTCTGCCAGCACCTCAGCCCCAGGCTCCCATTCCTCCATTACCATCTATTGAGTTCGTCAGCCATTCCGCATTTGCGAAGGCTTGTCAGCTTGAAGGATCAGTATCCTTCAGCCTAACCATCCCTTCCGAGGACAGCCGCTTGAGGGCTGCCTCATCCCACACTGATTCCGTTGACCTCTCGGCCGTTCTGAAGGAGTACCACGAGTTCACAGATGTGTTCAGTAAGAGCAAAGCCTCAATGCTAGCACCACACCGTGAGCACGACCTGAAGATCGACCTTGAGGAAGGCACTTCACCACCCTTGGGTACTATGTACTCCCTCTCTACTTTGGAACTCGAGGCTCTCTGGGCGTTCTTAGATGAACACCTAGCCTCCAGGTTCATTTGTCCCACTACTTCCGCTCATGCAGCACCGGTCCTCTTCATCCGCAAAAAAGATGGATCCCTCCATCTTTGCGTCGACTTCCAAGGGCTGGACAAGATCACCAAAAAAGATCGCTACCCACTTCCCTGCATTTCAGACCTCCTTGATGCACCTAGCTGTGCCACAGTCTATACCAGACTCGACCTCCGGCATGCTTACCACCTGGTTCGCATTGCAGCAGGCAACGAATGGAAGACTTCCTTCCACATGCGCTATGGTTCCTACAAGTGGCTTGTCATGCCATTTGGTCTCACAAATGCACCTGCGGCCTTCCAGCGATTCGTCAACATGATCTTTGCCAACCTCTTGGATGTTTCTGTGCTAGTCTACCTAGACGACATCCTTACCTACTCAGAAGACATGGCTTCACATCAGGAGCATGTCTGAGAAGTTCTTAGGAGACTCCGCAAACATGGCCTATACGCCAATCCAAAGAAATGCGAATTTCATACGGACACTACAGAATATCTCAGATACTGCCTTTCTCCCTCCGGACTCACCATGTCCATCAAGAAGGTTAAATCCATCCAAGATTGGCCTGAGCCCCATAAAGTCAAGGATGTCCAGTCCTTCCTTGGCTTCGCTAACTTCTATTGGCATTTCATCCACCAATACTCTGACATTGTGGTCCCCTTGACACGCCTTACATGTAAAGGAGCCCCCCTGGTTATTCTCTGACAACTGTCACTCTGCTTTCAACACCTTGAAAGAAGCCTTCACTTCTGCTCCCATCCTGACGCATTGGGTACCCAATGCCCCCCTCATTGTAGAAACCAACGCCTCCGATTACGTGATCTCTGGAATCCTGTCCATCCGTTGCGATGATGGAGAGATTTGCCCTGTCACTTTCCACTCTAGAACACTCTCAGCGCCGGAGCTCAATTATGACACCCATGATAAGGAACTGCTCACTGTTCACGATGCATTCTGATTGTGGCGTCACTACCTTGAAGGTTCAGGAACTCCAATCAATGTTGTCACCAACCACAAGAACCTTGAGTATTTCTCCACCACCAAACTCTTGACCCAGCGGCAAGCCCACTGGTCAGAGTTCCTCTCCCAGTTCCTCATGACTGTCCGATTCCATCCTGGAAGACTCGGAGTGAAACCAGATGCATTGACTAGACGCTGGGATGTCTATCCCAAAGAAGGGGATATGGACTATGCTCGCGTCAATCCGCAGAACTTCCAACTGGTCTTCACTTCAGAGCAGCTCACTGCATCCTTATGAGCCACATTCCTAGCTGCCACAGTAATCCAAGCAGCCATACTCGTCAACACAGTGGCTCTCCATCGAGACATTCTAGCCTCCCTCTCCTCCGATACCACAATCTCTTCTCATCTCGCTTCCCCCAACCTCCCCAATTCCTGCTGGTCCATTGATGCCGAAGGCCTGTTAAGGCTGGACAACCGCATCTACGTTCCGGATTCCAATGATCTTTGTCTCCGCATTTTGCAAGACAAACACGACCACCAGCTCTCTGGACATTTTGGTCAAAACCGGACTCTGGATCTAGTCCGTCGTGAGTATACCTGGCTGGGCATCTGTAACTTCGTCAAGAGCTACGTCTCCTCCTGTACTTCTTGTGCCCATGCCAAAGTCCCCTGTCACAAGCCTTACAGCTTACTCAAACAACCCCCCATCCCTGAACATCCTTGGAACTCCATCTCCATGGATTTCATCGAACAGCTACCCTCCTCTTCCAGATTCACTTCCATCTTGGTTGTTGTGGACTGCCTGTCCAAGCAGTGCATTTTCATTCCTACCCACGATACCATCACCTCTCCAGAACTGGCCAAGCTCTTCCTCCTCCATGTGTTCTCCAAGCACAGAGTTCCTTCCCACATCACCTCCGACAGGGGTCCGGAGTTTGTTTCTCATTTTTCCATTCACTTGGTAAGGCCCTCGACATCCGCCTCCATTTCACCTCTGGTTATCATCCGGAAGGAGACAGACAGACCAAACAGATGAACCAGACGCTCGAGCAGTACCTGCATATCTATAGTAACTACCAGCAGGACAATTGGTCCAAACTCCTACCTCTCATGGAGTTCGCATACAACAACACTCTGAATGCCACCATGGGTGTCTCCCCATTCTTCACCAACAAAGGCTACCATCCGAACATCACTGTTCACCTGGAGCGAGACCTAACATCAGTATGTGCTCAAGAGTACTCGGTAGATCTCAACTCCCTCCATCACTTCCTCGTGAGGAAACGCACCTTGCTCAGATCTGTTACCAGGGCCCAGCAGACTCCCATCGGAGTCCTGCCCCAGCTTTTGAGGTAGGAACTTCAGTCTATGTAAAGGCCAAGTATTTCCATTCCACCCAACCTTCCAAGAAGCTCTCCGAGAAAAACCTTGGCCCATTCAAGATCATTGCCCGCATTGGAACCCACTCCCTCACCCTCCACCTGCTGGAAAACATGCGAGCCATTCACCCAGTATTCCATGTCTCGCAGATTGAACCCTCCGTCCTGACCATCATTCCGAACCACCACCAGCCTCTGCCTCCCATAGAAATTGAAGGCAAAATGGAGTTCAAGATTGAGGAGATACTCGACTCCAAGATCAACCGACATAGATGCAACAAGTTGCTCTACCTGGTCAAGTGGCTAGGCTATGAAGGGACTGACAAGGAGACACAATGGCTCCTTGCCAGCGAACTCGATCATGCCTCCAACCTCGTCGAAGCGTTCCACTCTTGGTACCCAGACAAGCCTGGTCCCGAAGCCCCTTAGGAACCTTGACTCCTCTCCCATCTCTCCTTCCTCTCCACTCCTCACTTCCATTTTCATTTTTTTTCTGTAAGTACAGCTCCCCTCACCTTACTAATTCTGGGCCTTCAAGGTTTCAGGCCTAAGAAGGGGATACTGTCATATCCATCCATGGCCATCAACTTCCACTACCTCCGATCCTTCCAGACTACCTCCACTCCTTCTTCACTAACCTTGGAGCTCCCATATTCCACAATCACCTCCACTTCCCTCGATGGTCACCACCCCCTCTTTTCAATATATTACCTATGCCTCCCTAAGTATGGAGCCCTGAAGGCTTCCGGACAGCTCCGACGTCTGCTAGTGCACTCCCACCTCCGCTGGGCAATTCACTTGCTTGCCCTGCAAGTCCACCTTCAGGCCTATCCCTCCTTTCTGTTTCTGGATTATCGCCTCCCATTCTGCTAACCCCATAACCTGACTTGTCGGTAATATTCAATCGGCTAATGTTTAACTCCATTAGCTCCGCTCCGCTTGGCCCCACCATTCATGGGCCCACCCTTGCTGTAACTATATATACTTAACTTGTACATAGGTTACACTTCAGTGATAAAATCGACTAGAGTTGATCCCTCTTTAGTTCTCATTGCCAGTAAGTAAATTAGGGCATGGACATGTAACTTGGCACAGTGCTCCTGGCTTGAGTCGCTGAGGCCGAAGCCCTCCGCCATGGAGACGACTCCTTCATCTCGATCTGGTCTCTGACAGTTCCACTCTGTGCATCTGTGCCAGAACGTTCAGCATACAGTCTGGAACCAAGCAAGCTGTGGTCTGTGGTGAGGGTGTCATTGTGAGATGGTCCCCCATGTGGCTGAGATGAGTGAGACCTGGGTAAAGCGGCATTGAGCTGATGGTGCCATAGTGAGATTGTTATGACATGGGCACAAGCAAGGTGTGGGCAGTAGGGTGGGCAAGATAGCAATGGGCAGGCAGGAGAACAATCACTGCATGGCTGTGGTAAGCACTGTCCCATGATTACTGTACTATAATGACCATAGGTTCATTCCCATGGTTTTCAGGGATTGCCATCTCCTTGTGTAGTTCATCCCTCAGTGTGACATGTGCCACACATCACGTGAAAATCTTAAACTGAATTGATTTGCTGATTCCGGCAACTCCTGGATTCCATGGGAACCAGTTGTCAATACATTTATCTGTTCAAAGTCTTGCATGACAAAACCTACTTTAGTTCAGTTCACAGTTTGCATGTGACATGTGACTGAACCAATGGTTGTTATAGTACAGTAGTCTTGTGAAATGGGACAACAAAAAAATGTAGGACCTGCTACAGAGTAGCAGGACTTTCACTCAGTTCTATATGTCCAAAGCCAGCCAGAAGCAGTTTGACTAGTATATATAACAAAAGAGAGGAAATTGGAACCATCTCTTTCAGATCTCTAACTCAAGTCTGAGGTGAAAACAATATCATTCTTACTCTTCCACATATCACAACTCATGCATTACCGATGCTGCAGCTAACACAACTGTAAGGGATTAACCTTACTTCACTATAATTCCGATTATAGTGATGCTATTATTTCTTTATTTATTTGTGCCAAGATATGTAATTTACATATATATACCTCGGAGTAGTTGTAAAGGCCCGGTAGCCTTTTACCTCCACCCTGTTGAATATACAGCACATTAAAGCATATTTTTAGACAGAATATCAGAGGCCTGAGGCAAATGGGGGAACGGAACATTACTGTCCCCAAAATAGTAAGCAACCCTTCAACAACATAGGTATCTATAATACATTAGATCTCTTCTTATATTTCTCATACTATAGCCTCTATAGATTTGATGTAGCCTTCACCCAGCTTGGTGTCTCCTCACCAGGTCTAGTAACCATCATTGGAATTTGTACAGGTGCTGCCTACCCCATGGAAGATTTGTCTACAGGCAGCGTCTGCTGCGGAATTGGGTGAGCAGCGCTTTGCTCTCTTGCATATCCAGTTGAAAGACTTCTCACAATGCGAGGAGTCAGATGGCATTGAGGAAGTGATGGGCATGCATCCAGTTGGGAGGAATCAGACACAAGATCCAAGTTAGCTACACCATTTGAATCATGTGATGGGTAGTCCTGATGTGGGATGATTCGCTCGTAAAATAGCAAGAATGTCCCGCTTGTCTCGCTCAACACATAGTTGATGCCAACCTCATCAACCGAGTCATCGCTTATCCTTAGCCAATCTTCGTTCGTTGTGGAGAGGAGCGAGGGAAGCCATGGGGATAAAGGTGTACCATGGCTCGGTTTCCGTCGGTAAGCGATATAATGACCGAAACTGTGGGCACCATAATGGCAGACGGTTGCAGCGAGTCTGTAAAGAATACGACGGGAGTTTTGGTATGTGGAGAGCCTCAGAGGAAGGCTGGAAATGGGAGAAGACGGGAGAACAGATAATTGACCAGAAGTGGTGAAAGGCGTGAGGTCTAAAACCTCAGGGAACTGAACACGACAGGGGTTTTTCGCCGCCGAACCATGGTATATGGAACGGTTAAGATGGAGTACCAGTATCTGAGGAGCCTGGGAGAGAATTGATTACAAATAATTTCCGTAAACACGCAACTTACCCGTGCGATCATGACTTGTTTGCTCGCTCTACTAACTACCCGCTCTACTTTCAACCCCCGGATGTCCTCCTCAATACGACCCTCGGTAAGCGCAGCTTTCAACAGGATTTCCAGTTTGCGCATCTCACGCACTCTTTTCTTGGTGCTCTTGCCGCTAGTCTTCTCGTCGCTCCCACCGTGTGCAAGCTCATGTTGTATGCAGGTGTGCATAGCTACTAGTGAGCATTTCCGACAAGCTGAGTCAGTCAACACTTCCAACCTAGTCAAATCCGCGAGGCAGTCCTGCAGGGTTATTGAAGCCTGTGGAACGACATAATAAGCCTCCAATATGAAAATATTGGGGAAACAGAAGATAATCAGTTTAAACGGGAATAAACGTACAGCGAATGGCAAAGTAAGCTGGAGATTGTCGAAACCAAAATGCATCACCGCCTCTGTATACCCACAAACCATGCAGCTCCTACGATTAGCGGTCAGTCCATCGAAGACGGATTTTGTGACGCGGATTGGGCTAAAACCACCACGCGCAGAATCAGAAATAAGTGCCGAACTGAGTCCTTGCTCTCGTCGAACCTCCCGATGTACCGCGAGCGATTCATCCTTCATCAGACTTGACAGCAGCTGGAAAAGCTCCTGCGCATCCTGGTGTTCGCGGGACGAGAAGAGTAGGCTGCGCTTACCATCATTGGAGGGCGCTGAGAGAACATTGATTATCTCGATAGGGCGGTGAGATGTCCGAGAACTAGATGGCGTGTTGAGAACTGAATATCCGAATCAGGTCGAATGGAGCATGAAGAAAAGAATGATCCTGACGTTTTAGAACATTGCGTACTGCATCTGTCACTGGGGTCGGGATATCATGAGCCTCCGCCCTCGAGTACACCTCCTCGACATGAGGTTGAAGATACGAGAGAGAGGAGAACGCCTAATCAATTAGTCAGAACCACGAACGTGCCGTAGCCTTCATCTCACACCTGTAACACTGAGTTCATGAAGCAGTATGTCCCCGAGACATTGACAAGCCCAGGATACCATTGATGGTCTTGTGACTCTGCGGTAAATTTAGCTGAAGGTCATGTATGCAGAGAGTGCAACTACCTGTGGGATGACGTCCCAGTAGTCTGAGGCCATCTCTGGAACGTAGCTCAACAACATTGTCGTTTTTTTCACCAGGAACATCAAGGTCATCTCCATTAAGCCTTAGAATGTTCCCTATCCAGTCCATAACATAGCTTAAACCCAAATTCTCAAACAGCATATTGGCAACAGAGGCAATGTTCGAAAGTACCGCAAACAGCACCAACCCAGCGGCTACGAAGACAGGTAAGATGGACTGGGACTGAAGGAGGATTGATAGAGGATCTGGGCCGTAGTTCATAGGATTCTCGGCATAATGGGTCAAGCCGCTGACGTAAAGGACATTTCCCACCCTCATATATATATCGATGTCCGTGCTGCTGGAGACATCCCTGGGGGATATTGTTATTGACCTTGAGGTTGAAGCATGCCCGAGGACATGCGAGAATTTTCTCAAACTGTGCAAGGTCTATTACTACAACCTAAACGCATTTTTCAATGGTGTGTCCCTTGTCGCCATTTCGAAACGTCAGGGCCTCATGATATATTCAGTCTCAAAGGACTTCTTGGCTCAGACTGGCGACCCAACGGCAACTGGTACAGGGGGCGAATCTTTTGAGTCATATCTAGCCTCGAAGGTGCCTGGATCCACACCTCTTTCCTTGGCCCGCTATTTCGTCCCTGAAATCTTGCCACGGCTGAAACATGCCCGCCGAGGAACCGTATCTATGGCTGTTGCACCATCACTTGATAGCAAGAGCATTGGAGGATGTGGCAGCCAGTTTTTCATCACACTGGCGGACGATGTTGACTACTTAGATGGGAAACATGCCGTCTTCGGTCGCGTCGTTGAAGGATTTGACACGCTCGAGAAGCTTAATGAAGTGTTTGTTGATTCTCAGAATCGCCCTCTTAAGGACATTCGTATCAGGCATGTTATCGTTCTAGGTATGGGTATAATCCCTTAGCCCTGAAGCCCTTATTGACGCCGAGGGCTCATCGCTTTCAGACGACCCTTTCCCGGATCCCCCTAACCTCGTCGTTCCGCCGGCCTCCCCAACTATTGCTCCAGACAGGGATCTGGAAATGGTTCGTATTGCCGAAGATGAGGATCCTCTCGAGGTGGTTCCCGAGGAGGAGGCTGAACAAAGACGACGCCAGAATGCCGCCAAAGCCTCGGCTCTGACCCTGGAAATGGTTGGGGACCTTCCCTTTGCAAACGTTCGACCACCTGAAAACGTTCTTTTCGTTTGCAAATTAAACTCGGTCACTCGTGACGAAGATCTTGAGCTCATTTTTTCAAGATTCGGAAAAATTATGAGCTGCCAAGTGATCCGCGACAAAAAGACAGGTGATTCGTTGCAATACGCATTCATTGAGTTTGACAAACGTGAGGACGCTGAGCAAGTATGTGCATGATCCAATGGTTGTTGATGGCTTCAGTGACCATCTCCCCCAGGCTTATTTTAAAATGCAAAACGTGCTCGTTGACGATCGACGCATCTGGGTAGATTTGTAAGTAACCTGAGCTCTGACTCCAAAACGTGTACTCACCTTTCAATTGCAGCTCCCAATCCGTCGCCAAAATGAATACAAGCTGGCACAGCGCATCCAAGTCTTCCAGAAGGATCACCGACACTCGAAGGCACGACTCTGGTGGCTTCGCAGGGAGGTCAGACTTACAAGCGACGTCCCGTTATCGGGAATCCGCTCCAGGCAGTAAGGACAGTGGTGGCTACGAATATATATTTGACACTTCTCCTAGTGGAAAGGGACCACTGCGTAGTTTCAGGCGGAGTTCGCGCTCAAGGTCACCTCGAAGGGATGGCAGGGATTACCATGAGCGACGCGAACGGGATCGTTCGCACGAGAGGGAATTTCACCCGCACGAGAAGGATAGGGGAATACATCGTCGATGAACTTTATGTAGATATAAGTAGGTTTGGCAGACCGAGCAATCACTTATGTAAATCAATTGGACTGTTCTGATGAATATTGTACTTTTATTTGCGCCGAGGCGACTTCCGGCTCTCGCGGACAGTCATGGCCGGCCCAAATGCGTTGTCGCTGCTTGGAATCACTAAACGAAGGAAGATCAGGATACCTAGGGCGTTGGCTTCTTCAACCATACTTACTGGAGACACTCGGAAGTAGGACTTGATCTCCATGGGTGTATCCTCGCTGACCTCGCGCTTTGCCCAGATGCCTCCAAACACTGGCTGGGTACAAACTTCCTTCTCCGCCCGATCCAATTTATCCATTATCGAGGAGTGCCGCCGTATTGGTTGCATTGTTTGTCGGACGCAATGGCGACTTGTATGTGCTGCTTAGCAGGTATCAGGCTGTCTTTCCATGAAGCCTTGGACGGAAATAAATATCATTTCTAAAGACGGGCTGAAACCCTTAGAAGCTTCCCTGGAGACACATCCCTTCCGGGAGGCCGTTTTGAGCCTGGGGATCGCAATTTGGAGGACACGGCAGTGAGTACGACATGTTCTTCGATCATTAACACCACGTTAAAGTTTGTGTCCATTCTCCATTTAGCGCCGTGAGGCATTTGAGGAAGTACGCCCGTTTCCTCTTCATCCTCGAGGTATCTCCACGATTCCGTTACACAGATCGGCCTACCCCAGGACCGGTATCGCATTCCGCTGTTGTGCTACCTCCAACCATTCCGTCAGCTCAACACACCCAAAGATTCGTATCGTGCCCTGACCTTTATATCTAGTCATTGGAACCCATTTGCTGGTCACTCCGTATGTCTCACCAACAAGTTTGACACCATGACATTGAACATGACCCGCTAGCGTGGTGGTACTAATTCTGGACCCAGAGGTTCGAGTACGTTCGTAGTTCATCCATATAACTGATTGCTCTACAATCTTAACCTAGCCCATCCTCAACGAACCAGAAGTTAGTGCTTTGTTTTCCCACCCTCTTCACGCCTTTCTTCTCCGCGACGCCCCCTTTGCAAGATATCACTTGCCGCATTCTGAAGCCCATCCACACTCCCCAAACTTCCTTGCTCGGCACCTCCGTACAATCCCCATCGATAATATCCACGCAGTAAAACCGTCAGCCCCAGGCCTTCCACCAATACCACTATATGCTAATGGTGGTCCAAGTAGCATCGAACCTAGCCCCAGCACCCGGCAGATAGAGGCTCCGAATTCTGAAGGAAACCTTTCTGCCAAGGCAGAGGCCAATCAGCGAGCGTATACTGGGTGGAAGAGAATGAGCTCGGATCAAATCGAGGAAGATGCGCACGGGCATGAATACTACTCCTATCGAGATATTGCATGGGGCCAGTCGAAGGTCCGAATGCACAAATTCCTCACCGGAAGAGAAGATCTTGGAGTAAAACCAGTGACAGGACTCACCGCGTATGTCCATTTTCAAATACCGCCGTTCTCTCACCCATTTAATTTCAGAGCAATCTTGCTGCACACTGCTATGGTGGGCTATCAAAAAGAACCCGAATTCCTCCCTCACGCTCCTGGGGAGCTGTCGCAACAAGATCGTATTGCGTATGCGCTGCGCACAATTCCAGTATTCACAGAGGCCGTCAAAAGGGCTAAAGAGGAACTAGACATTGCTCGACGTGGTAGACTCCCTAAGCCTAGCCCTTCAAGCAAGCCCATTGCAAGCCCAGCGCCACCTAGAGCTTTGACTCACACGAAATATAAATTGTAGAACTGCGAGGATTCGTTCACGTTTTCGGGGGTTCGCAGGATGTTATATTATGAAGATCCCCTTACAGTATGGTATGACAACGGTCCGAAGCAAACAGAGCCAAGGGAATTCTTGATGAAAGCACAAGAGTGGATGCGGGCAGTAGCAAATAAGTCAGATAATATTAATGTGGCAACCAGTGACGACGTGACCAAAGATCCGGAGTTAGCCTAACTCGATTTGGTTATTTTACAAACTCTCGCCCATTTGTCCATGGTATTTATCCGACACGTTCCTTTACTGCACAACGTGTAGCCGAAAGTGGCGAAGAGAATGTGACATGGCCCCTCAAACTGAGTGCATGGGTTTGGGATGCTGACGTTGGGTGAGATGGTGAAGGGGTGGCACGAACGGCATATTGAGAATGAGCTAAGTTTAGGACACCGGGGGAGTAGGGATTAATGATAGTCGGTGTTCGAGGCAGCAGAGGCAACGGGGCAGACTTCCCAAGCGGAGTCGATTTAGCCTTGGCCTTCGTACCCCCAAAAGCTGCGGAATAGTCAGGTGGCGGAGGTAACAAACCCCTACTAGGCCGGGATTTATAATCAGGAGCATACTTCAGGTATGTCGCAGGTTTTGAAGTTTGAGAAACTTCATCTACTGGGAGCCTGGGAGAAGGCGGATCGGGCGACCACTGCCCTTTAGCAGCGCCACGCCCATTCTCAACGACCACAACATCAGGAGGATCAGAAGAATCATATCCGCCACGATCACTGGATCCAAGAGTGACTGCTTGCTGCGCTAAGACTTGAAGAGCACTCATTGCTGTTTCGACAGGAGAGTTCGGTGTAGTGACAGGGGCCCCAGGCTTGGCGCGGGATTCTGTTTCGATGCGTCGTCTCTTGGTGGGCGTGGACAATTGCGGCTCATCGTCATCATGGTCGAGAACCCGTTTTGCAGCCATGAAGAGATTATCCAGACCACTCGTACTTGGAGTAGCGTCCAAGCTCCTGTGATTATGAACAGGAGTTGAGGGAGTTTTCTTACACGGCGAAATCCCAAACGTGCTGGCCGTCTTCTGCTTCTGAGGAGAAGCTCCGGGTGCTCCGGAGGCACCGACCACGACAGCCGCGGCCGCTGCGGCAGCATTAGCAGCAGCATTTGGGCGTGGAAGCTGGTTCCGTGAGGTCGGAGGGATAATTGTAGGGCTGAGCAGAGAGGAGCATAGAGGAGTAATAGATTGCACAGAGCCAAAAATAGCGGAAATCCGGGGCCCCGTAGGTGTTTGCGGGCTGACGAGACGATGCAATGGGTAGGGGCTGGCGGGAAATAACATTCCTTGGTCCACATTTGCACTCGCTGAAGGGCATTGCAATGGCAGAGCGATGCGGGCGACTCGTTCTCGTCCCAATTTTCGGGCGACTAGCAGCATATGCTCGCTGCGAGCATCACCAAGGATCGGCAATTCAGGCCGCCCATATCTTGAAGTCTGCTTCTGGGATAAGATATCAGCCGTTGGTTCCTCCCCCGCCACGTCACGATGGGTAAACGTTTCAGATCGTGGCTTGGCGGTTCGTGGGGACGGGGAACTTAATAGAGACGTTTGAATGGGTCGTCCAGAAGCTTCACAACTTGTGTACAAGAAGAATGGACGCAGCGCGTGGAGTTCAGCCTCAAGCTGGTCGAGCCTTGTTTGCGTATCCCGAAGACGCTTCCGAAGAACTCGATTTTCTGAAAAAATACTACGGTTTTCGCGCTCGAGTTCCTCTAGCTTGCTGACACCCTCTTTTTGCATGCGGATAAACATTGCATCCATAAGCCTATGTGACGCGAACCTTTCAGCTTCCCATCGTTCCCGCTCTTGCGCGTGTTGCTGGTTGATAACATCCGTATACGTGGACAGCTCCGAAATCACCTCAGCCTGTCGAATGAGTTGGGATGTATGGAGGCCACTCCTGGCACGCAGGAGACGCAAAACCTGGAGACTAATGAGTTGTGCACATATAACCGATGGAATGCTAACCATGTCCACTAGCACGCGCTCCCTATGCGTTGCGTCCAAGTCTCCTGGCTTGGAGGTTGAGAGATACCCCATATCTATGAGTTGCCGGCGCATAGTCACTAACTCTTCTTCACCAATGCTACAATCTACGTCGCCATTAGGCTGTGGTGAAGGCGAATGGCTGAATGAGGAGCGAATGAGATCGGAAAACTCTAGTGGAATGGGGTTGCCGGCCATTTGTTGACGCCCAACATGCGTCGGAGTCCCAATCGAAACTCCGATGACGCGTAAGGGTAACGTGACTTAAGGACGGAAATTGCCCAGATTTGTGTGCCACTTGTGCTTGTTGCCCAGGGTGTCGGCATTTCCCGGTTGAAAGGTAGGGTTCACGGGGGGCAATGTTGTTGGGTCCGATGGCACCTACTACTGTACTGGCACGACCAACAACCTGTCACGTGTCACGCGAAGGTCTTGGATTGAATTAAAAATCAACAAAATTGAATTGATTTATGGCTCCGGCAACTCCCAGAGGCCGTGGGAAGAGGTTGTTGGTCGTGCCAGTACAGTACTCGTGACCCAATGAATATAAAACGGTATGTGGGGGTTGCCAGTCAACCAACCTTCTTAGATAGTGGTAAACCATCTGAGTAGCTGCACCGATGGCTCTGGTGCACTGAGAGAAAAATATAGCCAGAAATAAGTTTTACGCAAGGGCCCGAGAAGCTCTGGGAGCTCGTGACTGATTTTTTCAATTACAATACATTGCGCAACGGTCCCCGGTCGAATGTATTGCCGGCATCGACTTCCGTTGCGTCATCATCGTCACCGACGTCGTCAACATCACCAAAGTCATTCTTCATCTGTTTTTTTTTTGTTCAACTTGTATTTTACTCATTTTCCTTACTGTCAATGCCATGTCTCATTGTTGCCATTGCTGTCAAGGCTTGATAAACTAGCGATTACATAGCCTCTAAATCCATATTCTCTAATGCATTCACAATTCTTCCAATGACATGGTGATAGTTAGGGTTAGGGCTCCTAGTGGATCGGATGATCTGCGGATATCCGCAACCGCATCCGGAAATTCACGGATCCGGTTTTGGATTTTCAGAGGAAAATATCCGCGGTTTTTAATCCGCAGATTTGCGGATTATCCGCAGTTTTATCACATGATTTATTGCTTGCAGATATGCAGGAGATCTGAGGCAAATAGGGGTGAAATTCCCCATATTTACTGTAACTCTTACCCTATTGTGGCTTTTGAGAGGATAATATCCGCGGTTTCTAGTCCGCAGATAGGTGGATTATCCGTGGATTAAATATATCCCACTTTCCTAGATACCCCTCCTATGTTTCCATATTTTCTCCCAATTTTTTCAAGTCCTATCTAACCACCCAGGCCCGTTATTTCCAAATTTGGCATCTGACACCCATCTTTTGTGCCATTTTCCCCATATCTCTGTCAGTTCTCCACCAATATGGACATATTTGGTGTTGTTAGAAAGCTCTCATCAGGGCCGTTCTAACGAAATTAATTTTGAAACGTATTATCTATAATCCGCGGTTGATCCGCATATCCACGGATTTCTAACTGCCGGATACGGTTTTTGTTTCAAACCTCTAAAAACTAGAATGGCTGCTGCGCTGCCCTGACCTTGCTTGCAAGACCAGGTTCTGTATGCGCGTATGGTTCACAGGCACAATTCATTCACAAGATTTGGGGCAATCAGCGGAAGAATAGACATTGAATATAACTATGAGATGCAACAAGCGTGTAGAGTTAGAAAGATAGCCAGATGGCTGCATAAATATAGGATCCGAAAACCAAAGAGGGTATGAGTGAACAGTGTGTTGTTCATGAATAAATATGGCCTGTCCATACAGTACAAGATTAAGGAGCATAGGAAGAGGAGGGAGTCCGCCGTCGAAACGCTCTTGAACGTAGCATTGATACCTGGCATTGATGCGTATCGGTTACCTATTTACGTTTTTGCCGCTTTGCTGGGGAAAACGAAGGCCCCGCATATAATTGCTTTGTGGGAGAGCCGTTCTCCGCTCAGTAACTTGGCAGCACCTCAGGTTCCTTCAACACAATGACTTCACCAATGTTTGCTGTGAAGGTTGCGCGCTTTCCTTCACATCCTCCAATTAGATGGCAAGACAAAGTGAATGAGATTTGAACCATGGATCCTTGGAGAGCACTTTCATATTCTGATGGCAGGATTACATGCATGCTTCCTTCACGATACACATGTAGCGGGTTTGTGAGCCATCCTTTGCTTTCCACCATGCGGTCTCGGATGGGTGTGTTGATGTTTGACACGGGCCAGTGTTCAAATCCAAACTCTGCAGTCAGGAATTCCTCGTCTTTATGGGAAGAGGTAGTTAGTTCATTAGTGTGTAAGGTCTGAAATTAGAATTGCACCAGATTCTTCATCATTGTAAATGAGACCCTTCAAGTCGCTTTCGCTGTCATCGCTTTCTGTACCTGTACTGTTGTATTAGAAGTGAAATGGCTATTTTTAAAGTACTCTTACTTTTTCCCTTTGGTGACAGAGTGGCCAGGACAAGAACATGAGGCCCTGTTTCTGTAAGACCAATAATCTGGCCCGGGGGTGTCTGTTCTCGGTCTTGTAACAATGGGAAAGGGTGAGATATTTGTCAAGTGTTGGAAACCTGTACTTACTTTTGTAGACATGTGGGGGACCTGGTATATTCTCCATCACAGCACGCGTGTTTGGATTTTGATCTGCATTCACCCTAGACGTAGTTTTCTTAGAGCCTGAGGTTTGAGCGCTTGATGTGGATACCGAGCCTATCACCAATGTAATTAAAGAAAAGTTATTGGTGAGTTTGTAAACTCTCTGTTAGACACTGATCCGGAGTCGGCACCGAAGGTCACCGATGCAGGCCACTATTGGCTGCGATGGCCACGATGCATCAAACAAGGCCCGAGGGTAGGGCATTTGGCCTCAGCAACTCTAAAGGGAGTGCTGTGCCCCCTAGCTGTCTCTTGGCCCTCATTTCAGACTCACTGGGGTTGCCTTGTTGGGGTCAGGACTTAGGGGTCGTGGTCACATCAATATTCGAGCTAAAGTACTATAATGTAGTATACAGGATATATATAGGAGGAAGGAATGAATGGGAGTGGACCTGGGCCGAAGGCTGAAGGGTCCGGAAGCAAACATGAATAAGGAGCGGGGTTGGCCACACAGTGGCTGGCAATGACCGAGGATCAAAACAAACAATAACAGGTAAATAAAGGAAGGAGCATAGGGCTGCGATAGTGGCGATGGTATCGTAGCGGTGCTGGACTCGGAGTTGGGCTAGAGTCGGGCACGGGAATGGTAGCGGCCCTGTAGGGGCCAAGTGGATGGGGTAGAGGAGTCGTGCTGGGCACAGTGCTGGAGGCGGACTCAGGGTGTGAAGGTTGGTGTGGCTGTGGGGGAGTCGGCCAGGTGCAGGGGAGCCTAGGGGCAAGCAGGGGAGTGAGCAGGGAGTCCTCAGGGAGGATAGGGCTGAGGTCGGGGCTCGCGCTCACGCTCGCATAGTGTCAGGGCCCGGCCTCTGTCCGGGGGCGGCCCTACCTCAGAACTGGACACTTGCAGTGTCCCAGGCAGCCAAGTGCTGGATCCTACCCCAAGCTCCTCAAACTCACTAAGTGGGGATTGAGTTGTCATGTATTATGGAAGGTAGCTACAACTTGCCTAAGTGGGGATTGAGTTGAGAAGAAGGGTAAGTTTCCCTATTCCCTGCTTGGCTACTATAAAAGGGAAATGTACTATACAGTTTGTAACGTGACTAAGGGTAGGAGCCGAGCATGTTCCTGCGATGTGGAAAAGGTGTCACATGGGTTAAGGCGAGTTGCTCGCCTTGACCCACGTGATTTTTCCCACGGGTTCGCGTGCAGGCTGTAGTTGCAAAAGGTGTGTGAAGATGGGAGGATCAGGGAAGTGGGGGGAGGTCAGGGAAGGTGGTTCTGGGGTTGTATGGTCAGGTGTGGTTGCCCTGACACATAGCAGTAATGGGCTCAGGCGGCATCAGGACGGGCGGTGAAAGAGGGCTCGTGGCTCTCTATGCCGACACAGCTCGTGGGGGACAACTCTCCCTAAACTCTACTTTCTCTCTTGACTTCGCTATGCTCGATCCTAAAACTCCGTGGTGGGTTCTCCGGGATTCCGCAAGGTCCGGGCTCAACTAATCTACTACCCACTCGTTGTGGGCTAGACAGTTGCCCTTATTCCTACTGTTGGATTCCACACACTCACTCCAACTCTAGCACGTCCTAGAGAATTTTTGGGGGAGGGGAGAACTTCTATTCCAAAATCCGGTATGTACAGGATATAAGGAACAATTATTTTTAGAATAATTGATGAGAAATATTGGTACCATATGGCACCTGGATACCTTATTAGGCGAAATAATAAAAAGGGTAACAGTAATAATAAAAGAATATCAATCAATAACTGAAATGATGGCAAAATATGAAAATAAAAGAAAATAAGCGATATCTCAACGGATTTACGGAATTAAGAGCCGAAATTGGAAATGTGACTGAATAGAACTATTATGCAGCCAATGAGCATTTTTACCAATTTATTAGACGCCGTGGGAACGAGTGAGGCTGGAATTCTGGGTTGCCGCTTGAGATTCCCACGCCCGCACATGCCCGTGACCTGCTGTGCCTAACTTGCCCAACATTGAACTCCATCAATTCTCCACCGATTGGGACGTTCTTGATATCGTCAGAATCGTACGAATTAGCACTATTTTTAGATACCAAATCTGTACTGAGTCGTCGCATGAATAGAAGTGGTTTTCTAATCGTGGAAGCGGGTATCCGAGCCGGCTCTGCACGTGGGCGATTATCCTGCCTACAGCGGCTAATGGGCCGGAATGCACGGCTGTGACACTCTCTACCTTTGCTTTTTTTGGTGTTTTCGTCAAGGCTATGAGGTATCCTTTCATAATGATCTTGAGCCTTTTCTAATGTCAAATAAGCAAGCCATTGTGGTCAGAGTGATAAGATGCAAAACTGGAAGAAACCAACCCTTAACTGTAGCGTGGGGGGACTTTTTGCTGTTGTCCCACACAGACTGTGTCAAAGTTAGCTTAATAACCTATGAAAAGGAAAAGACTTGATTGGACGCCCTTACCTTGAACATTCGGTGAATGACTCGAACTTCATGGCCAACAGAGCCCCTGTCTGTAATAATGGAGTACTGTGATGTTTGTGTCAGGGCACACCTGCCTGACCCAGGTCCACCCGGACCCACCCGGCCACACCACACCCGCTCCCCACTGTCTATCCCCCTCCCCCCTCCTTCCTCCCTCTTCTTTCCCCTTTCTTTATTTCATTCTTCTCATCTTCCTCTTCCTGTTTATTTCTTTCTATCTACACAGACCACCTTCCTTTGTATCGATGTACTATTGACCCGTCTGGCCCACACACCCCGGACGGCTTCCCGCTGTGCCCAGCACGCGCGCATGCAGCGGACGCTCTCGGGATCCCCCACGGGGACACCCGGATGCCTGCAGCTGCCTCCGAGGATGACGTGGCACCCGTCATGTGACTCAAGCCGCATGTACCTGAAGTGGGAACCGAAGAAGTAACCTTCTTCTCACATTCTCCACTTTAGGTAAGTAGTATAGTTTTCCCCTTTAATAATAATAACACATTCTCCACTTCAGTCTGAGTGGCCAGGGACCACTGTCCCAGATCGGGCCTGCCAGTATGCACGCCCACTCCACACCCCGCGACGGCCTCAGTGCCGGACATTACCCCCAGGCCCTCTCGACCCCGGTCGCGTCCCTGACAGCAGAAGAAGGTTTTAACCTTATCTCCCCCGCCTCCCCCATCTCCCCAGCCATGGTGTCAGAAGAACAGTATGACGACCTGCTGGCCCGCTTCCAGGAGCTCCAAGCCATTGTGGAGAGCCAAACCCGCAACCACCCCCCACCCGCACCTGCACCCGCACCCGCCCCTGCACCCGCGCCCGTACCCACACTCGCGCCCAGACCCAAACCACCGAAGGTCGCTGCCCCCACTCCCTTCTCGGGAGCCAGTGAAGACCTCGATCGTTTCAAAGCCGAGTGCGGGATCTACTTCCATGTCCGCGCAGCCGAGTTCCCTACCAAACTGTCCCAGATCCTCTTCGTCCTCTCCTACATGAAGGGAGGACCTGCAGGGGCGTGGGCGACACAACGGACGATCACCCTGTTGACAGCCAGCTCCCCCACCATAACCATGGACGAGTTCAACACGGAACTCGATGCCATGTTTCAAGACCCGAACCGGGAGGCCACAGCTCGGCAGAAGTTGGCAGTCATCCACCAAGGGACTGACTCCGTGGATAAGGTCATCCAGGAGTTCGAGATATTGGGACCCGCCTCGAGGCTAGGCAATGTCGGGCTGGTTGACTGGTTTGAGCAAGCGATTAACTCGCGGCTCAGGGAGAGTATATACCGCCTCTGCCCCATGCCCACCACTTGGACTGAGTGGAAGCGTGAAGCCATGCTTCTGGACAACCAGTGGCGACGTTTCCAAGCCACCCAACCACGCGCACCCCCACCTAGACCCCATTCCCGCCAGCTCGACCTCCGCTGACCGCGACCCCATCCCAGACCCGACCCGCACAGACCCCCCACGACCTGCTCCCGCACCTCCGCCCCCCACCCCAGCAGCCCGTCCTACACCAGGGACGGGCCCCCAGCTGATGGATCTCGACAGGTCGAGGACTGACCAGAGACGGTGCTACAATTGTAACACCCCGGGTCATCTTGCGCGAGAATGCCCACACCCCAGGGTCAGCCGAGTACGACGTCTCCACCCGGAAGACCTGAGAACGCTGATGGAAGGGCTGAAGAGGCAGTTGACTGAAGGGACAGAGACGGTGGAGGGGGAACCAGAGGAAGAACCTCAGAGGGATTTTCAGGCAGGCGACCGGTAAGGGATGCGTCCCGGCCGCCCGTAGAAGATAGCTCGTGTAAATACCGCAGCGCGTGTAAGCCAACGCCAATGCCAAAGTTGCACCGAGTCATCGTGAAGAAAAAGAGGAGAAACGCATCCTCCACCCGTGAGAACGAGAAGACCTCAAGGGCAGCAATGCCCGAGGTAGCAGTCTCCCCCCAGCCATTTACGTCCTTTCCAAGCAGTCCCCCAGATCCCTTAACCTCACAGTGAAACTGACCGCCCTAACCTCCCTCGCGTCGGTATCTGTATCAGCCCTCCTGGACTCAGGAGCCACCGGGAACTTCGTAAGCCCTGAGTTCATCCGAAAGCACAACCTAGAGACAACCCCCCTTCCCCAGCCCATTCCCGTCCGTAATGTCGATGGAACCCCGAACGAAAATGGAGCTATAACAGAAGAGCTAGAAGCCCTCCTGACCTTCGGGCGACACACAGAGCGGGCATGCTTTGCGGTTGCAAATCTCGGGCGCTGAAAGAGGGCTCGCGGCTCTCTATGCCGACTAAGCTCGTGGGGGCCAAACTCCCTAAACTCCTACTTTCTTGACTAGACTCGCTATGCTCGATCCTTAACTCCGGTGTGGGTTCTCCGGGATTCCGCAAGGTCCGGGCTCAACTAATCTACTACCCACTCGTTGCAGGCTAGATTGTTGCCCTTATTCCTACTGTTGGAATCCACTCACTCACACCCACTCTAGCGCGTCCTAGCACCTTAGAGAAAATGGGGGAGGGGAGAACTTCTTTTCAAAATCCGGT